GAAATAGGTTTTTACCACCTTGAGTTAATGTTCATTTTCCCGAGCGGTGAAATCACTCCAGTTCAAGAGCAAGTACAAGAGCTACTGGATGAGTATGAGAGACCTGAAAGTGGAAGAGATGTAGGTGTTGGCAGTGTTGGTGTCCATGAATCATCTCATAGAGAGTAACTGGAGCGAAGCAGCATTTATTCTGGCAACTGGCTTAGAGATGGTCTTGGGGAACTGGAGCAAAGTACAATTATGGCTCTTTAGGGTTTTTTTCTTTAGATGATTATGGCTCTTCAGAGGTTTTTTTTCTTTAGATAGTCCATAATTGTTCCATTTCAGCTTATTTTGAAAAATCTGCTCTGAAAATGCAGAAGAGAAAGACTCGCTCTACAAGAACCCTGTCAAGAAGGTAAGTGTGGAGGAGATACTTGCCGTTACATAGCTTTAGGCTTTCATATTTTCCATTTTTCATGTGGTGAAACCATTTCAGCAAGCGATATAGATTGTGCTGAGCTGTTGTTATGCTTTCAGCTACTGCCTGCCATCCTTCATGAGAACCACGAATTTCTGAATGAGGAAAAAAAAAAAAAGGAATTTGAACACTGTCAAACGCGCTGTACCACAAAAGTGGATCAGTCAGGAGATTAGTGAAACAACTCTGTCAAAACAACTTGTCTTCTTGATCTCAAAGCTGATATTTGGGGAGGGTGTTGGGTTCTTAGAAAGCTCACGCATTAAAACTCTGCCCAAACCGTTCTTTTTAAAGGCTTTTAAGGTGATCATGATTTTCATTCTGATTATGAAGCCTAGAAGACCATTCAGGCATCTCTTCTACGCACGTGCCATACCCAATCCATGCCTGAAGAACCTGTTATAAGGGTAGCAATTGCATCTCTAAGGGGCCCCAGCAACCAAACCTGAATCAGCTCTTAAACAAAGAAGATAAAGTTGAGTGCTTCTCTCTCGAGCATCACATGAAGTTCTACCCAGCCTTTTTGACGAGTAATAATAGCGAACTAACCTCTCTCAGACACAACTGCGTTACCACGTCAGATGAGCCAAGTCACTACTCCAGTATACACCCCTTGCCCACAGTGAACATGAGGTGATTAGCTCTGTTCACAGTCAAAGAGGGGTAAAAAAAAAAAAAAAAAAAAGAAGAAAATCAGTCAAAAATCAAATTACCTCTCATCTGCTGGTCTTCTGCCAGCATGTGGCAACTTCATCAGTGCATCAGAGGAGCGTGTGACACTCAGTTATCAGCTATGTAAAACATCAGACAGCTCAGTCTTTTATTCCAACATCAACCCATGCACGCGAGCCACAAAGTGGGCACCTCTCCAGAGCTGCATCCAATCCCTTTCCCGAATTAGCACTAGAACATCTGCAAATCGTTAATGCCTTGTAGCCAGAGTCCATCTCGCAGATAGTGGTGCACAGAAAAGCCGTAAAAATGGTAAAACTTAGCTTGAGGAAAGCAAAAATGTATTCTCCGGGCATCTTTGGTTCACCGGTAGAAAATTTGGGGTGATATCTATGCAAGTGAGATGCTTCCCCTCCCCCAAAGCAATCAACCGGCACATCGTATGTTCTGCCAATGCACCAGTAATTAATGAGACACTTACAGCTGTATATATCTGGCACACTCGTATTTAATTCAGTACTGGCAAGCTTGCCAGCTACCCAGATTTCCCCGCACGCTCCCCTCCACCTTCCCCTCTCCTCTCGGGGTTAGAAAACAACCGATGCTCAGAGTGCAAGTTTGGTGGCATGCACTGAGAGGGGGCATCCAGCCCTACGTCCTCCACGCAGAGACAGCAACCACAGCCCTGTTTCCATCAGATTTACTGTTAGATCTTCCTCTCCATCTCAGAGAAGGAGAGTATTTGGCTAATCAATACGAGAAGTACCCAATGCCTGATGTCACCACAACCTTAGCGTTCAATGAAACCCCACTTTCATACAGATAATCTGGGCCTTTTAGTTCTTTGGTAGAAATGGTCATCATTGGCGAAGCTGAAAATTCAGCATTATTTTGTGACTGCAGCACAGCAGTAAACACAAGGGCAGAATGACACCATGTGAGCTCCACAACAAGAAGATGCCTCAGGGGATGGAAACAACTAATGCCAATAAAAGGCTACAAAGATCACCTTTGATGCAAAGAGAAAAGCACATAAGAATATCGGCGTGTGCAATGATTAACTGCAGTTTTCAACTCCACAGCTTAAAACTGCAAAGTAATGCCCTCCTACAGGAGAAGTTTGTTTGTAAATTGGTGGCTCTGCTTGAGAAGATAAAGTTGTACACCCATTTGGCGAAAAGGATGCTCTTACAAGAGATAATCAACAACCACATTTTGAAGATTTTCACTGCTTCACTGCAACCATGTGCAGGCAAGTAGATTATTCAGGTCCACTCCAGAGCACGCTGGGGAGAAGAGCATTCAGACAAAAGGGACTCAGGGTTTTCAGGTGTCCCTCGCGGAATGTCACCATCATGGCCCAAGAGCCGGCCAGCCCATCATGCCACGCTGGGAAGCTCCCAATTAACCCGGTCAGAAGTTCCCATTCACCTTCACCCAGATGGATCGCAAGAGTGCCAAATAGCATTTGATGCTTTTATTGCCCCATTTACCCCTGCTAGCTCAAATTCCCGTTTCGTTACAACCAACCAACTCCAGGAGGGAAGAAGGGCCTGCTGGCTTCATGGATCCTTTCTCCAGGTTAACAAGGCAGCTTCGGCTGCTTCGTAACTGTGGTTGCTCCTGTCTCGCTGCAGCCCGAGCACACCGATTGTCATCTGCTTTCAGGTCCCTTCCATCCTCACCCTTTTTAGAGGGGTTGCGGTATCCTGGGTGAACATTCAAGTCTCACAGCCTTGGTGGGATCTACCCAGGGCTTACTCACCTCTCCCTGTGGTTTGGTTTAATTAAGGCAGCAAAGCGTAGTTAAATACAGTAACAAGCACATGCTGTAATTGCACCCCAGGCTCCTCCTGGGAGAGCTACTTTATCCTACAGTCAGCAAAACTACACAAACCCCTCTAACATAATTGACAGCGATCAAAGTGAACCGCGTCAAGGTTTTACTACAAAAAAATATTATTTTTTACACTGATGTGCTAACATTTCTCTAGGAAAGGCATTTTTGGCATCATTCTCTCTCTCCTCCTCCACCCGATACCTTTATTTTACACTTCAAACCCTCCAACTTGCATAACAAGGTTCACCTGCTGCGTACAGCGTCATGACTGAGGGAAACAAGAAATGCGATACCTTTGTTTGCTCTCTCTCAACACAATTCTGAATGAACTCCGGGTATACCCTGGGTTCGTCACTACGCAAACCCAAAATGTAGGTCAAAAGTCTGTGTGGTTTGCCACCGCGAATGACTTGCATTTCATCTGCCTGAAGGCAGATGGGAACTGAGTCTGCTGCTGCTGCATCATTCTTTGCTTTTCTCCTTTCCTCAACCCCGGTTTCTTTTTTCTTACCATCAGGTTATGGTTGAAAGAATGCAGTGACATCAAAAGACCAGGAGAGCAATGCCTCGTACCGCACGTCACGCAGGGAGGGGATATTTCCCTTTTATTTTTTGGCTGAAGCCATGCCTCTTTCCCAACACAGCGCCTACCGCACAAGTAGCCGCTTTCAAAAGTGAATGCAAATCTCAATTTTCTTCATTTACCTGCTGTACTTGTCTTTCACGAGAAGAAATTATCACAGGTGAATGGGGAAAAATAAAATAAAATAAAGGGGTTATTTAACCTGCAGGGTGTGGGAGAAGAGCGCACTACCATTTCCATCACTGTTTACTCGGGAGGTGCACTGGTCCTTTGGCACGGCCGCTTCTTATAGCTCCTGAAGCAGGTCTGCCAATCAATTCATGCTGTTCTTTATATTACATTAAATTACGTAGGACTGAAGTCTTTTGTGCTAGATGCACAAACACGCACTGCAAAAAAGCCCCTGTGACGGTGTTATGGTCAGGTGTCCGCACACGGACAGATAAGGAAAAGAGTTTAAGGTAACACCCACGGGAAAAAAAACGGTGATTTTTGTTGTTTCATGCTACTGATTTGGAGGTAAAAGGCTCAAAAAGCAGTCTAGCCCCTCTGCAATACTCACCTCTGCTTTCACAATTTTATGCGTTCATATAGATGAATATCAGACAAAAGTCCAGAAAACAGGACTGACAGGGTCCTGGAGAGATCACCCAGCCCACCCCAAAGCAGAACCACGTTCTACCAAAAATGACCTTTTCCTCAGCAACTGCCTAAACCCTGCTAAGACCGTCACATCAGTGGGGTTTCCACAACCTCCTTCAGCTTCCATCCCAGCAGTAGGAACATTACCCAGCAAGAAGTACCACTACTGATGGCATCGTCTACACCGTGAGGACGTCCAGGGGGTTATATGTAGCCCAAACAACATTTATTTCAGTGAAGAAATTGCAATTATTATAACCAACAGGAACACAGTAGGAGAGGGGGTCCTGATGCATCACAGCTGCTGGTACAAGAACCTACAGGACCGACAGCAAGGTTTCCTTCAGCTAAAAAAAGAAAATGGCTTTTTTTTTTTTTTTTTTAATTGTACAAGCACACTTTGCAATGGAAAGGGAAGCCATAGCGCTGGCCAAAGGTAATTGATAACTCTGCAAGTCAGAAACCGCAAACTTTCGACTTATTCTAAATAAAAAACTTGTATGTTTGCATTGCGAGCCCCTTGCTATCCCTTCTGCTCAGCAACGTTTACAATGCGGGAACTTCAGAACAACCCAAATTCACTATAACACGCTGGCAGTTGAGCTGCAAGGGAGCAGAAGCAGTATTGCAGAAGTCAGCAATCAACTGAAAATCCCAGAAATGGGATTTTACCGATAGAAACACCAAAAAAGCCCTGCAGTAGTGCATTTGACTGCAGACACAGCCTAAAACGCCACCTCATTCCCCCCTCCTTTAGACTGCAGGAAGAAGTAGAAATTTAACAAAAGGCTTTTTCCCCTTACCTCTTTGTTGGTGACTCCCGGGGGCAAAGTCCCATGCTTGTAATCCTCCAACAACTGCACAGCTTCCTTCAGACGGCTCTGCAAATAAAACAGTAGCGTGGTCTGCAACATTGGTCCTGCACTGAATTGTTTTATTGAAGGCAATGAATTTAAGTTATACAATTTTATCGTCTTTTGTGCAAACCTTATGATGGGTCCTTTTACCCATATGATATAAAAAAACCCAAAAGGACGCATGGACACTTGTTTTGCTGGTTGGCACAGCCCTGCTGTCTACAGAAGTGGTATAGAGGAAGAAAGAAAAGAGAAAATACAAAAAACTCCCCCTCGCAATGCATCTATAGAAGACATCGTAAAAACTTGAGAGTCTTCAGTGTGGTACCAGAGATTTGATAAACCTCGGAGATGAATGAGTTGCCACTTAAAGGTAGAAAATAGTTTAAGACAAAACGGATACATTTAGGTGCAATGTAGAATACCCATCTCAGACACTGGTGACACTCCTTGCCAACTCTCAGACAAGTATCTCCCAGTGACGTCAGCTGGGAAACCGCTTAGATTGAAGACCTGACTTTGCCCCCACACGCTCTCCCAGTGCGTGTACTGGGGAGGTACAGCTGAAGGGAAGAGCAAGGTAGAAGCCTGCACATATTAAGCATCACCACTAAGAACACAGAGCCCACTAAGGAGTTACGACGCAGCAAGTTTGTCCTGGTTTCAGCAGGGATAGAGTTAATTTCCTTCCTAGTAGCTGGTACAGTGCTGTGTTTTGGATTTAGGGTGAGAATAATGTTGATAACACACCCATGTTTTAGTTGTTGCTGAGCAGTGCTTACACTAGTCAAGGACTTTTCAGCTCCCCATGCTCTACCAACTGAGAAGGCTGGAGGTGCACAAGAAGCTGGGAGGGGGCACAGCCAGGACAGCTGACCCCAACTGGCCAGAGGGACATTCCATACCATGGGACGTCATGCTCAGCATATAAAGCTGGGGGAAGAAGAAGGAAGGGGGGGACGTTTGGAGTGATGGCGTTTGTCTTCCCAAGTCACCGTTAGGCGTGATGGAGCCCTGCTTTCCTGGAGATGGCTGAACACCTGCCTGCCGAGGGGAAGGAGCGAATGAATTCCTTGTTTTGCTTTGCTTGTGTGCGCGGCTTTTGCTTTACCTATTAAACTGTTTTTATCTCAACCCACGAGTTTTCTCACTTTTACCCTTCCGATTCTCTCCCCCATCCCACCGGGGGGGAGTGAGCGAGCGGCTGGGGGGTGCTCAGTTGCCAACTGAGGTTAAACCACGACAAAGTTTTAGCCCGATCTCAGCACAGCCACACGAAGAAGAGCCGTGGCCGCTGGACCTAGCGTTTAACGGCACACAAGGCAACGTACCAGCACCGCTTTGTAACTGCGCACTGAAGTTCAAGTAGCGCTAGTTTAACTGAAATACCACGACATTTTCAT